ATATAATTTGTAGAAATTAGATATAAATTGTATATTCTAAATCTGCAAAATAAGAACTATTATAAATAATCGTTAAAAAGATAAAAATTTTATCAATTTGAATATTTCGACGCTTTTCTTTTATGTGAGAGGTTATATATATATCCTCTTATTTTATTTCATTACTGAGATATAGGAATGTAACTCAGCTCTATATCATTTGAAATTTAATCTATTAAATTTGAATATATATTCTCTTATATTACACTATATTGCTGTATATATATAAAATTCTATATAATATAATATATAATATACATTATTCGCGTATGATTATACTCGTCTAAAGTTTGTAAGACATTGTCATCTTTCGCTTCAATCGGAGAAATGTATCACTGTCGCTGTATACAGGTTATAAGTGTCATGATATTGCAAGTCTCTTCTTGCGATAACAAAGATTAATGCATTGATTTAAATGGGAAATTTATTGCGACGGACAGGCCGATCGGTTAATCGCTAATAGGCAAATAGATAGGAAAATATTGATATCAGCTTGAGCTATATATAACACACGTACCATTGTCTAAAAAAATAATGCGAAATATGCGTGCGAAATATTTCCATAAATCATATACATATACATATGTATATATATATATATATACATATATGCGTATTTATATACACACGAGGCACTGCAACTTCCTTTTCTAGTATGTTTTAAACTAACAATTTTATTCTTACACACACACACATACATACACACACATATAAGATGCTACCTTTTTTATATTTTTACTAAAATACGAACGATGCGTGTGTGTACACAGTGGCATAACCGCATCGCGTAGACATATTTCGACTTACAATTAAATGAAATCCAGGATACTAGATAGACTGAATGCGCTATTAGAAAGTAGTTAGTTATATATTTTGGTGAATTTTGTTCTCAAAATTTTCCTCTAATGCCGAGATAGAAAATGTGCATCGTGCGATCCGTTTATATACTTAGTGCTTTTTACATAAATGGTAATCAGCTGATTAAGCCACAGTTATTCTTCTTTAAAAATTTCGTTTTACGAAAATATGTAAAACAAGGTACATATTATCATCGATATGTACTATCGATGGTATGTAAACTAAGCAGTTTAGTTTGAAAACAAAATTATATTTAATATTTCCTCCGGGAGAATGTAAGAATTACATCGAAAATTGTGTACGAGGCAATTCGAATAACGATATTCCGTAAACAATTGTGTACTCGCAGCGATCTATTGAAACAAAACATTGAAAAAAAAAATAAAATTTACATTCTCCAATCAACAAAATTCATTTCATTTCATTTTTCTGTATGTTGCGAGAACAAAGCGAGATATTAAAGTTTTTAGAGCAACACTCAGCGACCAGTATGATAAATAGTTTCCCAATGAAAAAAAAAAAGATAATTAAACGTAAGAACTATATTTTCATATCCTTTCAAAATGACCAACTTATGACCACCTCCATATAAAAGTCCTTTTATTCTGGTCGTAATGATTAATCTTTTGTAATCTTTTGAGCGCATAAAGGTGCTTTTAAGTTCCGCGTTTCACACGTTGGCTTGGTTCACTTTTGTCTCCGCCTCTTAGAATATTAATGTTTCTTCCCGGAGACCCACGATGGGACGCAGGTAGGGAAACGATACGACGAACTTTTAAAGCGATTAATATTCTATATCTTCAAATAAGTACTATGCTTTTATGTGTACATTTTTAATCGTGATTATATATTTTTGTTAAAATTGTCACTGAGCACTAGATTAAGAATATATGACGTAGCAATTCGCCCAGTGCATCTTCGAAAACTATGTAGTTATCGCGTGAAAACTACGTGAAATATGTAATATAACGAATAATTTTTCATAGCGGTATTCAAAGCCAGATAATAATTTCTCAAAGAACATTAATATTATACTAATTATTATTTTTATGCCATTATTGCGTTTAAAACCAGAATAATATTTCCTCATTTTTATTTAGTATCAACTATAAGTCGAAATTGTCATGTTTATGTAAATCATGACAGGCAAATATCTACGTAAGAATTTTTGGAACGTAAATAAATTATTTAAACGATACATATCTCTCGAATATATTAAATTTCACCGTTCCGTTGGTCGATACCGTTTTCTTTTGTAACGTCGAATAATGCGAACGCTTAGCTTGGCACATGCGATATTGTTGATATGCGAAAATTAGCCGCGACGTCCATGTTTTTTGCTCACTCGGCGCAGCTGCAGCAGATAGTGTACATATACATATGTATATATGCATATATATTTTAGTGTGGGTGTGCCTACTTTGTCTTATAGTTTGATACTGTTGTATATACCGCGAACTGTACCTCGGAGTTATTGTAAAACACTTTGTCAATTATACATGGAGTTTTATGATATACACAAAACTTCAGCCAAGCGACGTAATTATATATATATATAGTAGATATACACATACATATATGTATACATATATGTACGTGTAACGTAAGAATACGCGTATAGTCAGTACATATAAATGTGAAATGTATGGCCTGTGCATAATTCTAAATTAGGTACGTTCGAAGTAATATCCGTAGGCCTATAATACGTATGTAATCGGCTGTGGGAGAGATGTAACTCGAGTTTAGAATATCAAGAGAGTTACGTATAATATTAAGAGTATCGTGACGGGTAAAATACTATCTCGTTAATTAATCATAAATTATACAAGATTGTACGTCGTATGATAGTCTATACGGTATTTTAGATTCTTTTCACCTTTTGGAACGTCTATACGTCATAAAAGATCGTGCAAAACTATACTATATACATTTATTTTTTCCTATATATCTTAATGTCAAATTGCTTTTTTAGAATAAAATTTTTGATTTTTGAATTGGATAAAAAAAAAACGTTTATGTTACGAGAAATTTAAAAAATACTTACTGTTATTCCTAATTACGACATCTTGTTTCTTTAATATCTTCTTAAAGAGATCGCTGTATTTTGCGGGACTTCACTTTTGCAGCGTAAACAAAAATATATATATTCTGAAATAGTATTTTACTCGTTTGCAATTATAAGTTTATGTAACCATTTACTATAACTCAAATATAGGGTTGAACGCTATTAAACGAATTATTAAATCAAATGGTGATTACAATGTTTCAAGTGACGTTTCTCTGTTCTATTAATGTGCTCCTTCGTAATTTAAAGCGTTCCCCATTCTCCAATTAGCAAGCCACGAAGTAAATGTTTCAGGGTGCTTTTTTATCATTTTTGTTTTACCCCCGTTGCATTCTATTATGTGAATCCGATGTATTTATTTACAGTATAAAATGATTATGCTGAATACATAAATAATGCAAGAACAACGAATATATTGATTGTATCATTAAAAAAAATGCGTCTTTTCTATACGCATTATTCGTACGCATTATTATGTAAAATATATACTTCCACTTATATTTTTATAAAAGAAGATTTGTTTGTATAAGAATTATATTTTTGTAAACCGATTTTTACTAACGGTTGATAACGTTGTATCATTCAAATAGATACAATACATATTATGGGTTTCTTAAATTTTAAATAAAATATTAATAATATATAAAAATATTAATCTACACCGGCGTACAATACTTATAAATATAAAACATACTGGGCAGTATTATCTTATTAAAAAACTTCCACTTTAGTTATGATAATTCAAAATGAAGTAGTTTCTATCAAAAAATAATTATTTTTAATTAAAAAAATATAGGTCTTCTAAAAAGTTAAAAGTGCAGAAT